AGTCTCTACATTCCAGTTAATAACTTTTGACGATTATTTCAATAATCAATTAATCACGATTAACCTGATTAATTGTTTCGGCCCTAATCTGAAAGATGTTTTGTGACATTATTGGCTGCTCAGTGGCGCAGTGGGTAGCACCGCTGCTTGCAGCAAGACGGTTCTGGGTTTGATTCCCGGATTCTGCATGGAGTTTGCATGTTCTCCCTGACCATGCGTGGGTTCTCTCCCACAGTCCAAAACCATGACTGTTAATTGGCTTCTCTAAAGTCCCCTTAGGTGTGCGTGAATGGTTGTTTGTCCTGTGTGTCTCTTTGTTGCCCTGCGATGGACTTGCGACCTGTCCAGGGTGTACCCCGCCTCTCGCCCATAGACTGCTGGAGATAGGCACCAGCACCCCTCGCGACCCCACTCGGGACAAGCGTGTCAGATAATGGATGGATGGATTGATTTCAATGTAGAATATTCATTATTTCTTATAGCACTAGCTATATGATGGAGTAAGTTTGGTGAGTGATGTCTCTCCCAAACTGCTTCCCACTGTAACTGACTGTTTCAAAGTCCCATGAGGAAGAATACCTTTATTTCTCCCAAAGAAAAAAAAAAGTTTAATTTCACATTTGCATTAGAAAAAAGCAAGGACACAAACTGGATAGAACCATCAGTTACTACTCTGTATAGAGCTTGGACACTCTATGTAACAGTAGGACAGAATATTTACACCCTCATAGTCCCAGAGAGACATAGCAATTATGGCCTATTTAGACCCTGCATGATTTCCATGTACTTCAGTTCAGCAGTTTTTGCTGTTATATAATCTGACAACTGGAGGAAAAAAGTGACAAAAACGCCTCCTCGCACTTTTGGGCAGTCACAACTTGCCTCTGAAGGATCTCGGCTGAGTAGATACAGTCCAGTGGAAAGGTTTGGTAGTAATCTTTATCCCAAGGGATAGCTTCCTCATCATCATCATCATCCCTCCCACCACCTCCACTGTATCCAGGGGGCATGATCCTATGGCTGTCCAGTCTCTGTCAGCTGTCAAAATGTCACCACCCCAGGAGGCCACTCCATGAAATAAAAGCTGATGCCACTCTGGTGTTTTAGAAGAGCCCTGTTCTCATAACCCCAAAATATCTCAAGCTTCTGCGCAGGTACAACCTGCAGTGGCCCTTCTTATGGAGAGCTTTGCTGTTATGTGTTCAGTCTGTTGTCCAAGTGCTCATCCAGGTATTTGTAAGATAACCGTCTCTGTTCCCTGAATATGGACTGGTGAGAGGGCGGTGCCTAGTTGTTCCTTTACGAAAATCTGGAGGATGTTTAATGAGCACCAGAAAACAGACTGGGCGCTTCGGTACTTCCATGACTGCCTCAGCTATGCATAATGAGTAAACTTTTAATTGCAGAACATCATTGCTTGAATCATTTGGACTGAAAGATGCAGAAACCAATGACACATCCAGCTGGATTTACAGACATTGCTGTGATTAAATAATAAACAGTCAATAAATCAAACAAAAACAACAGCACTTCCTGACTGGAAGGTGTACACGTTGCATGTATACGTATAGCTGTGACTCCCCTGTCATGAGCACACCGCATTGTGTGGGCTGTGCAGCTTTCCTATCAACAAAACGTCTCTTGATATTAAGGCGGGTCGATATAGCATATCGATATAAAAAAATGCATATTGATTGATATTGATATCTAAAAGCTTTTTGTATCTCTGCTTCTGTCTCCTTGAACCCCAGTTGGCCTCGGCAGATGGCCGCTCACACTTAGCCTGGTTCTGCTGGAGGTTTCTTCCTGATAAAGGGAGTTTTTCCTCTCCACTGTTGCTACAAGGATGAGGGATGTGTGAGGGATTGTATTTGAGTCAATGAGTCGATGCAATCAACTGGTTTTCCTTAGATAGAAAACTTTGAATCAATTTGACTATGATCTGGTGAATTGTGATGTGCCTTGAGATGACGTGTTGTGAATTGGCGCTATATAAATAAACTGAATTTAATTGAATTGAATTCACTGCACTCATTGTACAAATTAGGGAGCGCTGAGTTAGAGAAATACTTCTGGCCCAAAACTTTGTAACACGTATCACAAGGAAGGAAGCCCAGTTTAGCTTGCTTTGTTTTGGCGGAAGTTCCTGAAGATTCCTCTGACGACATGGAACGTCGGGGCCCACACAGCTCGTTCTCTATTGGGTGTGAGCGGCTTAGATGATAAAACAAGTTGGTTGTGTTACCAGACATTATTTTACCGGTTCCCTTTAAATTTTACAAATCACTGTGGTTTGTTTCTATCTGACTTAATATAACCGAAATAAAACCCTTTGGATCAATTTCCTTCGCCTCTCCTGCTGCAACATCTTCACGTGCTCTGTTGTGGTTTGAGAGGAGGGCGCTTTGTGACGGCGTGCCAGGGTCTACAATTGGTTGGTGGGAAGTGGTGACTGTGGCATCAACCTACATGATAGGCTACAATGAAAAGGAAGGAAAACTGTGTTTCTATTTCGACCCTCTTTTTTTTCTATTACGTTAATCATCCTTATTAGGTAAAAACAGATTAACATGCCTTTTGGTGACCGCTTGCTAGAAATAAAAGAACTGAATAGGACTATGAAGCCTACCGTTCAGGTTGGTATTTAATCCATGCATTTTGGTCTCAGTGGAGAAGAAAGGCTAATCAGTTTAATATTCTTACAGATTAGTGGGATGTTTGGGGTTGTATCGGGGTCGGACAGGATGTATCATCGCTTCACTATAAGCTATGCTCCAGATACTCAGTGGTGTCTGCCGAGCTTGGCCGGCATCCACAGCTCAGGGCCGCTGTCTTGCCTGGGATGTATTTGTTCAGTGGCGGTGTGACTCACCTCACTGTTCTCAGCTGTTTACCTCTGGTGGCGTTAGAGCAATAGTATGCATGTGTTGTGTGTTTGTAAACAGAAACCAGTCTATTTTGCAGGGAAGCGTCAATGATAGAGATAAGGTTTGTTTGTTGTGTTTTTTCTGCTTTACATCGTCTTGATCACAGATCCCTTTGTTGGATGGAGAAGTGAAATAAGATAAGTTATGTAAGCAGGTTTTGGTTTTGTTTCAAAAATAAAAAATTTATAAATTCTAAACTAGGGCAAAAAAAAACTAATGGTTTATAAAATGATTTAGATCTTAGGAATTAGAATAAAGATAAAAGCTTACATAAATGGCCCAGTTCGACCCAAATTCTCTTTTATTTAGAAGTTTGACTTAAAGCTGTTTACCATTTTTTAAATTCATTAATCTTTATGCAACAAACTAACTCTCTTTATCTGGAACTGCTTCCTCTCTTTATATCTATCTCGCTCTGTTTTGCTCATCTTCGTGACCTATTTTGCTCTACTTTTGATGCCTAAAGATTTAGCTTCTTGCTTTTGGTTTTTGCCACCTTATCTTCTCATTACATTTCTTATCACTCCTTATTTAGCCATTCCCCTTTAGTAATCATCCCTTTCTTCCTCTTCTTTACTCTAATACTTTGCCTATGTATGGAGCCCTTACTTCCTTACCTACCGCTGACAGGGGTCTCCTGTGGAACATTTTGCAGACCCTGTGGTCCTGGGCAGAGCGTTATGGCTCAGACGCTGCAGATGGCGATCCCTAACTTTGGCAACAACGTCCTGGAGTGTCTGAACGAACAGCGGCTGCAGGGCCTCTACTGTGATGTCTCCGTGGTCGTCAAGGGGCATGCCTTTAAGGTAAGATTTGTTTGCTTTTTAAAATATCTTATTTTAATTATTTCTCCGAAAGCAAAATGTTTAAAAATGTTAAAACTTCATAATGTTTCTCTGTCAAATAGAAGGGTTTAATGGTAGTTGAAATGAATGTCTGCTATAGCTTTCTTTTTTGTTTTGGTTGGACGTGAAGTCTTTAAAATTTTGGTTGGATAATTATCTGCAGCTTTCAGTGATATGGATTTTGATTTCCTTGGTTTGCAGTTGGAGCAGGACAAAAAAAAAAAGAAACTCCACAACTGGATTTGATTTAGCAGGCAAAAGCCTCCTATCTCTGTCATTTAAAAGCCACAAACCGTTCTGTATGTTTTAGTGATTTTATGTGACGAGGTTCACAAATGCATATTGAATCAAAAAGTTTATAACTGCAGTGATCAAGTATACAGGCTTGTCTACATCAACATATCACAGGCCTTTTAGCCCTGTCTGACCAATCTCTGATATGTGATGTCAATTTTCTGGTTGCAGATTCTTGATGTCGATGTAGCTTTCTCTTTCTCCGTTCACCTGATAAATATGAACACAAGTCTCAATTTAAACAAAGCAGAAACATTTTTTAACAAATCAAGCAACAAATTTACAAGGGATAGCAAATCAATGGCAATTGGTTGCAGTGGATTTTATTGATTGCTTAACATCTACAGGCTGCTGAATAAAAGTGCTGATTTTTATGTGGAAAGAAATAAAAACAATAAAAATGGAAAAATCTTCATCAAATATATTGAAATGTTTGGTCTTTAGTTGACATAGTGTCAAACAAATTAAATGGGCTTAATTTGATTGGCAGGTGCGTGTCATTAGGTGACATATTTACCTTCAGTGTCAAAGTTAATTTGTCATATTCAAAGGTGGAGATGGAGTCAGTTTTTTTTCTGTTTTTGTTATGCAGTTTGTATATTCAGCGTGAAACCCTGTGTTGTTTAAACCTTGATGACTTCCGCTGTCTCGCTGTTTACCCCTCAGGCTCATCGTGCCGTTTTGGCAGCCAGCAGCTCCTACTTCCGTGATCTGTTCAATGCTGGGGGGAAGAGCTCGGTGGTGGAGCTACCTCCGGCTGTGCAGCCACAGAGCTTCCAGCAGATTCTGGCCTTCTGCTATACGGGACGCCTCAGCATGAATGTTGGAGACCAGTTTCTGCTCATGTACACTGCCGGCTTCCTCCAGATCCAACAGATAATGGAGAAAGGCACAGAGTTTTTCCTCAAGGTACCCTCGGTGTAAAGGAATGTTGGAGAGTCCTTTATGTTAATAGCTGTTACTCAGCATGCTTAAAGAAACATGATGCAGGTTTATGTGTTTGCTGGCTGGCTTTTATGACTCAGAAGTTTATAAATCATGATAGTGACACAGTAGATTCAGCATAAAGCAATCCTGATTTGATTAGTTTGCATAAATCTGCATAAATCAGGAAAAGTTGTTTTTATTAGAGCTTGCCTTTAATTTTCCTAGGACAAACTTTGCATTAGGCTTAAATGGAAGTCTGCAAAGATGTGTTGTCCTCTCAAAATGATGCCATCTAAAAATGTGTACAGTCTAGAGAATAGTGCAAGAGAGGGCTAGATAAGTTTGGGAAAATACTATGTACCCAACAGTCTTGGCTTGATTTGATTGTCTAAAGGTTGCATCCAGCAGTCCTTTCATTCATCTCTACACCTCTTTACTGCCATCCTTTAATTTTTCCAATTATCTTTTTCTTTTACATCAATCTGTTAATCGCTGTCTTAGCTCCAAAAACCCACCATCCATCCATCCATCCATCCATCCATCCATCCATACATCCATACATCCATACATCTGTAATTTAGACGAAAATAATTTTTTCCCTTAGTATATAAAGGATGTTGCGCTACTTTTAGAGGTTCAAGCTTTTTTTGTTTCCTATGCACACCATTATAATTGCCCACATTAAAATTTGTTTTCTAGTGTTTGCCACAGTCACCCCTATAGACTCCATTAGTGAGTTAATAAGAAATTTTTGTGGTATTCTTTGGTTTTGATGTGCAGGAACTTGGTCAGCTGTTTTTTGAAGATACAGTAGACCAGCCATCATTGCACCTCTAACCCAATCCCAGACTCCTTACAAGAGTAAGAAAATCTAGCACAACAAAAAGAGGCAAATTAGATCGGCAATGAAACTGTAAATATTGGGACAGATTTAATGAAATAAAAAGAGTTTTTCTTTTTGCTGTGATAAATATCATATAAATTGTTATAAGAAGACATTACGCCTCTAAACAAAAGACCCAAGCCATCACAGTGGCAGATGTTTTATCTCTTCTCCCAGGCAAGTGCACAACACTGGTGTCATTTCAACTAGTTGCCAGAGGGGCCAAAATTCTGCAAAAACTCTAGAAGTTGTGCTGTGCTCCTTTAAAAATTAGGCACTTTATTTGTAGCAGATATTTTATAGAGGTCCTTTAAATGTTGAGCTCTATATTTATGTTATTTATACATAAAAGAAAATCATACAATATAATATAATAATCCTTTTAATTTCCTCAGGTCTCATCTCCAAGCTGTGACTCCCAAGGTCTCCACACAGAGGAGGCCCCATCCTCTGAACCCCAGAGTCCTGTCACTCAGACAGTGGGAGGGGTGGGTGCCGTAGGAAGGCCTGCTTCCTGTCTGACGCCTCTTCCACTGGTATCCAAGGTAAAAACGGAACAGACGGCCACTACACCTCAGCAAGCCCATCAGCAGCAGGTACGATCTGAACCTAAAACATGCGTCGTGTTGCTCAGATCACCAGCTTGGATTATACTCTGTAACATATAACATCTATTATACATCAAAGAGTCCCGGATTAAAGATGCACCTATTTTGCATTAGCAATATCTCAATAAGATTTTTGGATTATATCGGCCTCCACCTAAAATCTCTGGTATTGGCACGTTGATAAAACACAGTGCATCTGTCTAAAGTCTATGTTACCTGTTGGTTAATAAGGAATAGATCAGTTGTTTTCATTTCTATTCCTATTTACTATGTTTCTCTGTTTAAGAAATATCACTTAATCCATCATTTTCTAACATAAGTATTAAAAACAAGTATGAATCATAGTGATATTGGCTCAACATCAACATCAGTTAGTCATCAAAGGTGTAAAATCTCTACTTTGCATCTATGTTAAAAAAAATTTTTTTTTTTTATGAGTTATTTACAAGAGGATTCCTTTTATTCTATGATATTTTATCGCTTCTCATTTTGCTTTCATTTAAGTTGCTTTCCTGGTGAAGCAACAGGCATTACCCAGATAGAAAAAATTATGTGAAGGGAAAAAAAAGATTAAAGAACTTAAATAGCTAGCAGCTTAAAAAAAGTATTTTTTGGCATAAATATACATTTTAGATAAAGTGATGCTGTTGATTTGTTATTTAAGGATCCTAAAATAAACCTTAATACTTGATCTCTTTCATTTTTTTACAGATTTTTTACAGATTTTTTTTTGTTTGGTTGTCAGCATTTCTTGATGGTGATGATTAACCAGCTCTGTCTCCTTCTTCCTCGGCAGGAGGGCTCACCCTACTCTGTGGTCTGCACCCCCGTTGCCAAGCGGCTGTGGGAGGGGGCAAACCGGGATGGGGGAGGAGGCTCTGGAGGAGGCGGAGGAGGTGGAATGAGAAAGGCTGCACGCTACTCTTCCTCCTCATCTTCTTCCTCCTCCTGTACCACGTTAACGCAGGACCCATCTGGGCGTGGACCCGCGGCTAGTGCTGCGATGGCGGGCAGTGGCGGTGCCACTTTAGTGGGAGGAGCTGGACTCAACAGTAACCACAGTAGTAACAACAACAATGGCGGGACCCCCGAAGGCACGAGTCCGGGAACACTGAGCATGTACACAAGCGACTCACCAATCAGTTACCATGATGACGAGGAAGAGGATGAGATCGTAGATGAAAGCGCTGAAGAGCAGTACAGACAGATCTGCAACATGTACACCATGTACAGCATGCTAAACGCTGGAGCAGCAGGTGAGACAGCACAGAGGGGCACAGAGTACTGGGAGGGGGAGTTATGTGGTGATGACTGCTCCTTTTCTCTTATTGTTTTGCTTCATTTCAGTTGGAACGATTCCGATTCCTCATTTTGATTTCGGTTCCCATTAATTCCAATCCTTTTAAGAGGAAGGATCTTAAAAGTTAAGATGTTTTAAATGAGCTGGCTAACAAGAATCCTGTCTGGGTGCAATAGTCTATAGAAATTCGTGGATTTTCACTCTTTTAATATAATTCTTCTGCATTTTTCCTTGAAAACATGATTAAAACTTGTTCACATAACCAGTGTGTGGTGCAGAAGGTGCCGATGATGTTTTAGCGGGTAATTTAATATTTCTGATTTGGACTGTGATGCAGTTCTAGTCCGGCGGAGGAGAAAGCAGCATTTTGTGTTAAGGAAGTTTGGGAGATTTCCCCACAGAGTTTATATCCTCAGCGTTGTTTACTGGGCCTCAGTTCCAGATGTGGAAATGGTGATGTTTTACTTTTGTGGACAGATCAGATTTCTTACTTCATTCTTAAGTTGGTGGGTTTCATCATTTGAAACAGACCCCAAATAAAGTCAAATATACAATGAGTTCAGCTTAAAAGTATTCATGTCATGCAGATTTGGATCAAAGTCATTTTTATTCTATCAACAACACATAGGTAACGAGGAAAAAAAACAACCTTTAGAGTGTAATGATGTTGGCTGTCGGGTGTTCTTTGCTTATAATTCTATGGCAGATGTTGCACGTAGCTGACTGGTCAAATCTTTAATTACTGTTTAGACGCACTTTCGAAAGCTTTCTTCTTCAGTGATTGTCAGAACAGGTAGTGGCCTTCTGGCTGTAAAAGAGGGAGATAGAAGGCTGCACCAAAGTTTCCCTGTTTTGAGCTTTTAATCTCTGTGTCATGACAATATGTTTATATTATAATCTCATAGATAACTCAGCAGTTGTTTTGAAATAATTTATGTCACTTCCCCAAATATAAAGAATTAAAGACTGTGCACCGATAGAGGAGACAAAAATAGATAACATTTTGCATGCTGTTCTTGTGTTTAGTCTTAGTTTATCTAAGGGGAAGCAGAGCTTTGCAAAACAGAAATAAAACAATCATCTTTAAAATTTGGCTCTGCATTTGAAAAAATAGCTTTATTCTCCAATCTTTGCAACTCCTGGCTGCTGTGTGTTTTTAAGCTTTTTTATGCAAACCTGTCAATTGGAGGAAGTTAAGAGGAACAAAGAGTTCAAAACACAGAAGCTACAGATAGTTTTTTATCTTTGCTTTGAGTTGAGTACTAATACTACATATGAACAAGCTAACCTGTTTGGATAAACTAATTGAAATTTAATATGAAAAATACTTTGAAATTTGTTGTTTTTTTATGATTACTGACTGAAAGATAAGTTAATCCAATTGAGGTATGGGTCCTATTTGCTTTCCTTTCTATAATTTCTTGAAATAATGATTTATCTGATCATTTTATATTAATTTAGTTATCATTCTGTTAGTCTGTCTTTATCTCCTTAATTTTCATGAACAGGGGCAAAAATCTAAAATTACAGTAATGTATTATTAAAAAAACATTGTATCTATCACGTCTTCCACTTTAGTTTGGTTAGTTTTGTTTAGATTTAATATTTTCTGTTTTTAACAAGAGTATAGAATCCAATCAAAGGGCATCAAGAAATATGTATTATTTATTGTATTAAAGCTGGGAAAAGATGTTAGATTAAAGTTTGTTATTCCTTTGATTCTTAACATTTTTTAAGGATAAGAATTAAATGAACTGTTTAGATGTAAAATTTAACTTATTGTTTAAATCAGAGGAGAAGGAATAATTTTAATTCTTTGCTCCTAATAAGTTTTACTCATGTTTTCTACCATTAAAAAAACATCTACAAATCGTGTTCCTTCCTCAGTGGTAGGAGAACGGGTGGAGGCTTTGCCAGATTTGGCTCCCGACTCAGCAGGCGGGCGGGGAGGCAAAGGGGGGCGGTCCCGGCAGGACCTGGCATCACTGCCCGCCGAGCTCATCAGCCAGATCGGTAACCGCTGCCACCCGAAGCTCTACGAGGAAGGCGACCCAGCAGAGAAGCTGGAGTTGGTCAGCGGCACATCTGTCTTCATCTCCCGCGCCCAGCTCATGAATTGTCACGTCAGCGCTGGCACCCGCCACAAAGTGCTACTCAGACGGCTGCTGGCCGCGTTCTTTGACAGGTCAGTGCCTGAAATCATTCACGTACCAAGTCAAACAGATGGAGGCAGAACAAATGAGGCCATAATACTATCTGGTACTTTGTAAAGGCATTGCAGAGGAAAGCTTGATTTAAATGTTTTTAAACATAAAGAGGTAAGAAAAAGGTTAGAGCAAAGTGTTTGGGAGTTACTCACAGTAACTTTCAAAAGTATTTTTACTGCATTTTTTTATTTTAGAAACATGCGTGTATTTTAATGGGACTGGCACAAAGAAGAGCATAATTCTTAAGAGGAAGGAGAAGGACAAAGCAGCCATTAAAAGTCAGTCATTTCACCATAAATACTCTGTTGATCCCTCAGAGGTTTGATGATGAGCAGTTAATGGAAAACAGACGCAGAGAAGTTTAAAGCCACTCAGGTTATAAAACAATATCCTGAGTTTGGACATGGAGCTTTGTACAACCATCATCTACAGGCTGCAAACATACCTCAATGTGTACCTACACATACCAGGCAGAAAGAGCAAGAGTTGACAAGACACCCGTAATGGAAATATGAAATTAACTTGAAAGATGCTGCTGAAGTTTCAGAAGAGACAAAACTGGACATTTTTGGTCTGCAAATGTTTGGTCTACCTGAAAAGTGCATTGTGTGGTGGAAAACTAACTCTGCTTATCATGTTGGAGTTTCCACAGTTAAGCATGGTGGTGGCAGCATCATACTTTAGGGATGATTTACATCAACAGACTAATTGAAGCTTGCCAGATTTGATGGGAAGATTGATGGAATTTAATACAGGATAAAACTTAATGGTGAGGTTAATAAAAAGAGGACAGAAGTTCACCTTCCAGTGGTGACGGTTTGAAATATTTGTGAGTGACAAAATAAATTTGCAAGTTTGTGAAAACATTGGAGCGCCTTTCTTTTTGTGAGTGTTTTCCAAGTAAGAAATATAAGAAATAATATTGTCTGCATTATTTAATTTTTTTTCCACTAGTAATTGTTCCATTTAAATTGATTTAACTTTTCTGGCTAGGGGGATTGATTGATTGATTGATTGATTGATTGATTGATTGATTGATTGATTGATTGATTGATTGATTGATTGACTGGATTTATCTCACAATGGAGAAATGTACTTCTCCACTGATAGTGGATAGTGGGGTCATTTTACTAAACATTCTGTTTTAAGTTCTTTCAGATGTTTATCATTCTCTCTGTTTAGGATTGCCTTTGACTGTTCTAGTTAAGCATTTCAACTAAAACATCATTAGTTCAACTTTTTTATTTTCTTTAGTCTAACTGTTTTTAATATTCTTTTTTGTTTCTGCATTTTTTATTTTATTTTATTTTATTTTTTCCTACTTGCTTTGATGCTGTTTTATCTTCCTGTATTTTAATCATGTAAAGCACTTTGACTAAACAAATTGACTTTGTACTGAATTGTGCTATACAAATAAATTTGCCTTGCCTTGCCTTGCCTTGCCTTGCCTTGCCTTGCCTCTCTAATTGTGCCCTTGCTGTCTGCCCAGGAGCACACTGGCTAACAGCTGTGGAACCGGCATCCGCTCGTCGACCAACGACCCCAGCCGGAAACCTTTGGACAACAGAGTTCTGCACGCCGTCAAATGTAAGAGAAACTGTTGAATCTTTTAGTGAGATTTTGTGAAGCTCCAAGTTACCGCCCCTGATTCCTTTTTTTTAAAATTTTCTTTAATTTCCTCAGTCTACTGCCAGAACTTTGCACCGAGCTTCAAGGAGAGCGAGATGAACGCCATTGCAGCTGACATGTGCACCAACGCCCGGCGTGTCGTACGGAAGAGCTGGATCCCCAAACTCAAGCTGCTGATGGCGGACAGCGACGCCTACTCAGCCTTCCTGGCCGACAGTGTGAAGATGGAGGCCGACGCACTGGGGGTGGAGCAGGGCTTCGACCCCGCCTCCTTAGAGGCCGTCGCAGCGGCTGCCAACAATAGCGAAGCCTCAAGCGGGACCCTGCAAGTGGACGCCATGCCGGGGGCAGGAGGAGACGGCAGCACTTTGTTTTGAACAGGTAGATGTGACGGACCCATTTCTCTGGGGGCAGCAAGTCCAGAACATTGGCCACTGCGGTCTGGATGACAGTTGTCCCGCCCCTCCCAGCCGCCCTGTCGCTGGAAATCTGTTCCTTCTCTTGCTCTTTGGTCAGTTTCTTATATTTTCCTTTACTTTGCTTGTTAAGAGCCTGCTCTCTCTCCACAACTCCAATTTTTTATTTTCATCTGATGGAGACAGACAGAAAGGCAGGGTCAAAGGTAGCAGAGCAACGAATGTGAAACCCCCCCAACACCTGTTCATTCCTCTGCAACCTTTCTCTGCTTTTAGTTCTAGATTTTTAAAGCTTTTATCGTCACTAAGGCCCTTTTCCTTCACAATCAGTCACAGACATTTCTGGGAGGGCTGTCAGTGAGTTTAAATCCTGTTTGGAGAGAGTGATATTAGCAACCCTCCCCACCCCCCACCCCCAAACTCCGGTAACACTGTTGTTTTAATATTGAATGTATGCGAGGCGAGGCACCCAAACTGCAGCGTTGTAAGGCAGTGATGACTGAAAGATTGTGCTGAGCCCCCTATAGGTTTTGATTCCTTTGCTTTTTTGCATCCAGACAGCGGTGAGGTGCAACGTTGTCGAAGGGTGCGGCGCCCATGAAGTGGAGGGTTGTAATTGTTGATGTGTATACAGGCATGGTTTAAAACCTACTGGCCCCACTTTCTAAAACCTGCCAATGTTGTTTGGCAGGTGTGTTTTGACATGTCGGACGTTGAAGATATTGTACCCGTTCCTCGAACCCTTGATCCCCCACCCACCCCACCCCAAAAAACAAAAAAGCTGTTTGCATAAATTGTTTTCCTATTTCATTTTTGCCAAGGCTCCTGAGGGAGAGGAATTCTGTTACAGTGGACAGAGAAAACGCGAAGAATAAATGCACTGTTATTTTATGTGGTTTGAGTACAATCGAGATACGTTTTTTTACGGATTTGATTTTTAAAAAATCTAAAAAAAAAAAAAATCCTAAAAAGTTTTAGCTATTATCCAATTTTTTAAAAATCTGTGTTTACCACCTATTTAAGAAAAAACTATTTAAAAGCAACAAAGTGTACATAAGCAAGTTTCCACCTTTTAGCTCACTTAGTATTCGGGAGTGCATGTATGCAGTGCTTTGAAAAGTATGTAAAGGCCTAAAACTTTTTCACATTGTCGCAAAAAAACACAAATTTTACAGATTTCATTATATTTGTTTTTGTGAAAGACCTTAACAAGTGAGGACATAAGCGTGAGGTGAAAGGAAACAGATACGAGGTTTTCGATGTTTGTTTTATAGAAAAATATTTAGAAAAAAGCTTTTACCAAGCTTCCTGTTTCATATTAGAAAAGAATTATCCATCCAGTAACCACAGGAATTAGATGGTTTAGGGTGTGGTCTGACTGAACATCTAGATTTTATTTACAGTAAAGCAGGATAAATAAGAACTAATGCCATACTATATATCAAAATCTTTTATATTGTTTGTAGAAAAAAAAATGCGGCTCATTTTCTTCCACTTTACAGTCATGTGCTGATTTATGTTGGTCTGTCACATACGATCCAACAGAGTACATACATGTTTTTGCTTAGAATGCGACCAAATGCGATTAAAGTTCAGGGAGTATGAATAGTTTTGCAAGCCTCTGAGTGAATGGATTCCTTTTAGCTCTTGTTTACATTGAAATATTTGCAGCCATGCCGCTAACAGCGCAGGTTTTCCCTCAGGCATTCTGGCTGGAATTGACAGAAGTGCTGATACTTGGCAGGAAATAGCAGTTCTGTGTGTAGAGACGTAGGTGTGTTTCGAATGGGCTACTGGTGTGTGTGTGTGTTTTGCATGAGTGAGAAAGAGAGAGTGGGATGTTAGGCAGCACGGTTTCACACACGCTTAGCCGATTCATTCACTGTTCAGATCCACACGCTAATACACGTATGGGTCGGCTCTATGGCCACAGCGTGCTGAGGCAAGGTTGGAATCAGAGCCAGAATTACACCAAAGTAGAGTCCATCACATCTGAGTCATCAGCTGCAACGTGTCTGTTTTATGCGAACTAAACATCCTCTGCACTGTTTGTGTCTTAAAGTGAAGTTCCTGGCTTTCAATTTAAAAAAGATGTTAAAGAAAAGAAACAGGAGCTCAACCAAAAAGAAACATGTTGGCATAGAAACAGATGAAACTAAGCATTTAGATAAAAGAACCAGAACAATAAAAAAGTGGCCTTTTGTTCAGGAAATTTTAAAAATGACCTTCAGAACCTAAAACCTGTGAGAAAAAATTCATCGCTTTTATTTCACTGATGAGTATTGATTTTAGCTGCTAGTGTTTTTGATATGAAGGATAGTTTGAAGTGTAAAAAAATCTGTAGAATTAAATATAAGGATCTCAGATATTCTACACGTGCAGGACAGCATTGTCCAAATGTGGGAGATCCAAACTCAATGGCAAAAAACAGATCATGAAAAAGTAATCTCTAATTAAAAAGATGGTAAATTGATGTGCATCTATAGGTAAAACCAAATGACTTTACTGTTAGATATTTCTAACAAGTGTTTCTATCTGCATCTCTACCAATGATCCAGCAAACTGCAAAATCAGCCAGAAGACATATATTATTAAAACCAGACTTTAATATAAAGAAGAGTAAATATAAAGAATAACTTTAAATGTGATAAATATAAACCAGTTCAGTGGAGTGTTTAGGTAAAAAAATCCATATATCTGCAGATATTATTCATGACGACTATTCTGTGTACACAGGTTTAAGAGTAAGATTTTAATGGTAACATACACAGCAACATATGATATGGCTTCAGCTTTATGGTGGTCAAAAAAGTGCAAAAAGCTTTGAAATAAATACATTTATTGTAATAGTAGCATAACCTTGCATAGGAATTTAGAAAAAATCAGTATTCACCCATATTTGTTTTATCCAAAGGCCAATCAAATTTAATGCATTATTTATTTTTAGCTAAATTACCTATTAGCCACACTCATTAGCACGCGTTGAAGTGTGGCTATAAAATAATTGTTTTTCATTGTTTAATGAACAGGATTTGAAATAGAAAAGATAAGAGAACATGCCATTTAATTTAGACTAAAGAGTGATGGTGTTCCTTAAACAAGAAATTAATGCAAAAAAATAACTCTAAGCTAGCCCACTCCACTAGCATCGTCTTCATCAGAGCTACAACAACAGATCAGATTCTTCAGACTTGCTGTAAGAAAGAAAGACATGCCGCTTAAATAAAGTCAGTAATAGGACCGACAACAACTTTTCATTTCCCTTTTGGATTAGTTGGTTTACGGAACCTTTGAAGTCCACATTTACGCTATATTCAGTCATTCCCACGCTGATGGTAGTAAGCTGCCCTGGGGCTGATAGGAATAGGGCTGCCTGCTGGGGCCATGGTCCCTCTGATCACCATCAGTGTCTTAGCCCAGAGCACAAGAACTGAGACGAATGGAGCTGGGGTTCCAACTGGGAACCCTTTGGTTGCAGGAGGAACCCCAGCATCATGTGCCATGGTGAACTATTGAACAACTGGAACTGTGGCTTGTAAAAAGGACCCTAGGTGATGCGTGAATTAATGATAGGTGAAACAAATCTCTACAGGTTGCAGGTAGAGAAGGCTTCAGATAAAAAAAGTGTCTGTATCTGTGAAAAGCCAAATACTATATTAGCATTGTAATTACTATATGACTTACAGGTTATTGATCCAGACTGCTTAGCTAGATTATACTAACTTAAACAGTAAGATAGTAAATCTGGATTGTTTTAGAAGAGAAAATACAAGCACTTTATAATATGTGTAGCTAAAAAATAAGCAAAAAATTGCCCAAAATTTGATTGCTTGTTTTGGTTAACTAATATTCAAGCTTCCTCTGCACATGCATATGATATATAAAGAAAAAAAAAGTACTACTCATTGTTTGAAGATGGACCAGTCCTTCAACCAAAAAAATCCTCTAGATTAACCAATCAGTGATCATCAGCTAATATACTGGAAAGTCTGATTTTTCACTAAATACATAAAACCTTTTATGACCTTTTTGATTTAGAAGGCAAAGCAAGTTTATTTGTAAATGAATTAAACAATTAAACGGTAAAACAGAATGAAAATAAAAGCAAGTAAAGATAAAAACCTGATAAAAGAAGGTAGTTAAGCAAATAAAATACACAAACTTAAGCTAATGACACCTCACTTAACAGTTTAAGTTAAACAGCTTTTCAAACTAGCGGGCCTGCAGCACATTCTTTGCTTTTAAGTTTTATAATCCATAGAATAAATATCACAAATGGATAAAATCTGGATCAGCAAGTCAGACCCTCCAAAAATGAGGAAATGTATACGAAATGGAAAAGTATCCTTATAATTCTGTCAGACCCTCTCTAATACAGGATCAGTGTTGTTCAAAAGTATTTCAACACCTTAAAACAAGAAAATAGGCAGAAAATATATAAGGTTGTTTTCAAATCAGAACAGACCCAAGTAATAGATCAGTGTTAAGAAATAAAAATGGTTTCTCCTCTGTCGTGTTTTATAGAAAACACTTCTTGGAAAAATTATTTTTTACATTTTTTTTAAACATCCTTTCACTATAAACACAAATTGATGAGAATAGATTTGGGATTTATGTATTCAAGGTTTTCCCGGATATTTTACCTGTAGTTTACCCATAGTTTAGCATAACCATGACTTAGATGACCAGATTTAATGTAAGAACACTAAAGTATATTTATGCTGGTCTTTGGTCAAGTCCACATAGCACAAAGCTTACTGTGGGGCTGCTAAGAAAACACCCCCTATCCTCCATTGTTCATTTCTCCATGAAATGTACGGATGATTCCTGGAAGCCTCGACTGAGCACAAAACTCCTAAAACCACAGTTTGAAGCTGGTTGACCACATGATGGTTTTATAGGGTGAAGACATCTGATCTGTTTATGCTAATTGGATCTCTATATATCTATGCTTTTGTTTGATTATTTTGAGAAATCTCCAACTGGTCCTACCTAAGTTTAAAGACATTTAACCAGAGTTGTTGCTCCACTTTCCATCTAGTGTTTGATAATCTGTTTTAATATGTATTTGTATTTCTTTAGTCTTGTTCCTCTAGACAGGACGCAGAGACTGAGAAGCACAAGAAGCACGTGGTACAATCTAGAGACATAAACAAGTTTGGTACCCGAGGGACACATTTGACAGTAAGTCTGAGGAATCAGGAGACAAAAAAAATGTAAAGAGGTTCAAGAAAAAATAAAACAGAAGAGAACTTAGAAGACAAGGGTTTGGATAGTTTGCTTGATATTGTTGACCTCTCACCCCCCCAAAAAACATCCAGGTGTGTATTTGTCTGTGTGTGAATGTTCCTTAAATGGGGGAAAATGTTCTGAGAGAGATGGAGGAAGAGGACAGTGCAGCCCTCCCTAGAGAAGAGGGACAAATGAATTGGTGGGGAGGAGGGGGGGTGGTGGGAGCTGAAACGCTCGGATGATTTGGTGTGAATGCATGCATGCATAGAGGCGTGTGAGTGTGTGTTTGTTGCAGGGTTGGTTCAGAGCTGCTCCTGTGTTTATGTGTGAGAGAATTTCCACGAGCGAACAATGCGTGGGTGTGTGTATGCATATTAATGTATGCATGCATTTTTTCTCCTCTCCTCTCGCTTCTTTCTATCTCCATTTATGGCATAATAATGTCTGCCTCAACACTAGAAAAGGCTTTCCACAGCGGTACTCTATGTGTGTGTGCGTTTAATGCGCACTCCAGG